AGTACGCACTTCACCCTCTTTTCAGAGAGAAACAAGCCTAGATCTTATTTATAATCTCGGGGGCTGATCTCATTGTATCTCTATCTGCAAGGGCTCATGTGGGACAATAAAAAGTTTCAACTTGTCTCGCACGAGATCATTTCGGGACAAGTTCACGACTTCATCAAAACCATCCCAGACTAATTTTGGGCCAGTGCGGCGTCATTTCGCGGTAGTTCATAGCTAGTAACGAAATGATCCTGAAAGAGTTCTGAACTATTTCCGAAGTGGTTGCGAAAACGACGTGTCTATGGACCCGACAAAATGAAATGAAATTGATGCTTAATTTCTAACCTGACCCACTTAGTTATGTGTGTAACTGAATCGCCTAATGCTTTGCCAATAAAGATGATGNTACACAATGACTTTCGACGAGGTTTTATTGCGCACACTACGTCATCACAACATTTCGAACGTGCCGATTTTCATAGGCGGAAACGACGAAAAGGGCGCTTTATTTAACACTATAGCTGCCAGCTTGGATCGGCGTCTCTTGGCTGCGCGTTACATCTTCACAGCTGATGATCATTCGAAACCACCAGGTAATATATTACGCAACCATATTAAAAATGATGCCTTGAGCGTTGTGTTATGTGACGCGCCAACCGATCGCATTTGGCGCGTGGTTGATCAGCGTTTGCGTAAACTACGGCAAACAAAAGTCATCGTGGTGACCACCAGTGCACGGCTTGAACCAGTGGCGGTTTTTGCCAAACTCTGGCAGCTACAATTTCTGCACGCCATACTGCTGTACAACAACACCATATACCGTTACTCGCCCTTTCCACAGATGCAAGTGTTTCGTGTATACAATCGAAACGAAAATATTTTTCCGCCTGCACCCACTGATCTGCAGGGCTACACAATCTCAACGCCTGCCGAGAATGATCTGCCACGCATCTTTTTTGTGCATAATCAGCGAGAAAACACAACGAACATACGCGGTTTTGCCTATCACATATTTGTGAACTTCCTCCGTCGCATGAATATTACGCTGCGTATCAGCAATCCTAATGCGGTACATGATATTACGAGCAGTGTTAATATGAGTATCATCAGGCAAAAACTCGAGAAGCAGGAGCTGGAGATCTCAATGCATCCCTACACGAGCATTGGTGAGCAACAAGGCATCATGAGCTATCCGATCTTCAAGTTTGAGTGTTGTCTTATTGTGCCAGTGCAGAATGAGATTCCGCGTTGTCTGTACCCGTTACGTCCACTCAAATTGGGCAGTTGGCTTGTTATATGCACCGCAGTGGCCTTTATCGCAATGGCTCTTATGTGGACCAGTCCTTGTGTGCCCAGCGAGGCTCCACTCCTCA